AATCCCCTATCAACAACTAACACATCGCCTTCTTGAAAGGAACTCCAATAATCTTTCTCAAGCAATTCGATCATTATTGAAGCATCATTCTTCTTACCAGGATACGGACCAAAAACACCCGCAATATAACCATCGGGATAAACAGCCATCATTGGCTTTATTAGATTCCGCGATTTGTGCATGCAATATGTATTTCTCTGGAAAGAGAAGTCTGCACCTTTTTGAATGAACAAATAAGTTCCGTCGAAGATGAGGATTATTTTGTCTCCATTAGGAGCATAAAATATTTTTGATGTTTCAGTTAAATGCTCAAATGCTTCAGTTCGATTTAAAGGAAATCTTAAATACTTTGGAATCAGCGTTTCTTCAAGACAATTCATTAAAATCTTACAATATTTACTAGCTGTATTTCTGTCGATTTTCCATTTAATAGCCAATTCCTCAAAAGTATAAGCTCGCCGTAATCGAGATAAATACACACCTAATGCGAATTCTTTGTTAATAACCGAAATCTCACAAGATTCAATGAGTGACAAAACTTCTAGATATTGTTCCGTATTCAAGCCTGTTTCGAAGATAAGAATATCACTTTTCATATTAAGAAATGAGATAATTGCACTAGAAGTAGTATCATTCACGTACATCTTTTTGAATGCTTGCAATAGATCATGAACATCATTTGATGTTAGGTTGACGGAGTCGCTGTAAGGAGCAAAATTGGTGGGAATTTGCAGAGCATCATTACTGCCATGTGAATGACATATGCGTGCTCCATATTTCACAAAAATATTAGTTTTGAAATACACATGCAAACACTCCGTCTTGCTTACCAGTCTGAGTGTTTGTGAATTTCTGCAATCAAAAATGCATTGTCCATGATAGCCAGAAGCTTGATTAAGAGGAAGAGATATGGAATGCTCAATACTAGATGCGGAATCAGAGTCAATAGAATCACTTATAGTAGACACTGAGGTAGTTACATTAGTTCTTTTATGAATCAAGTTATAACACTTTTTACAATATGTAACACCAGACGATGTTCTGGTAAATGAGGATCGAGATCTTTTTTTTAAAGATATATTACACTCAGCACATTGATTGTCCATAATGAAACAAAAATCTACTTTCACCAGTTATAAATAAAATATACTTACCTTAAAACAACACATTAATTGACCAAAAATAATGAGATTAAACAGAAATGTTATCAGTAAGCATTGTTAAATCTATATATCACATTTTCAAACAACAGAACGTTAAAACAATAAAATAAATGAAAAATGGATACACTCAACAATATGTTTTAAAAAATGAGTACACTTAAAAATATTTTACATGCAGATGAAAAACAAATAAACTGCAGTAGAGATAGTGACGAAATATTATCGTTAATAAATAGACACATTCAATGATACGTTACATGCAAAAACAAAAACAAATGAACTGCAGTAGAAATGAAAAAGAAATATTCCTGTTAAGAAATGGATTTATTCAATGACACATTACATGCAGATCAAAAACAAATGAACAGCAGTAATGATGTTGAGAAACATTGTCGTTAAGAAATAAATACCCTTGAAAATTCGTTACATGCAGATGAAAAACAAATGAACTGCAGTACAGGTGTTGACAGAATATTCTCTTTAAGACATGAGAACAGTCAACAATATGTTAAATGTAGATTAAAAACAAATGAACAGCAGTAATGATGTTGAGAAACATTGTCGTTAAGAAATAAATACCCTTGAAAATTCGTTACATGCAGATGAAAAACAAATGAACTGCAGTACAGGTGTTGACAGAATATTCTCTTTAAGACATGAGAACAGTCAACAATATATTAAATGTAGATTAAAAACAAATGAACAGCAGTAATGATGTTGAGAAACATTGTCGTTAAGAAATAAATACCCTTGAAAATTCGTTACATGCAGATGAAAAACAAATGAACTGCAGTACAGGTGTTGACAGAATATTCTCTTTAAGACATGAGAACAGTCAACAATATGTTAAATGTAGATTAAAAACAAATGAACAGCAGTAATGATGTTGAGAAACATTGTCGTTAAGAAATAAATACCCTTGAAAATTCGTTACATGCAGATGAAAAACAAATGAACTGCAGTACAGGTGTTGACAGAATATTCTCTTTAAGACATGAATACAGTCAACAATATGTTAAATGTAGATTAAAAACAAATGAATAGCAGTGAAGATGTTGAGAAACAATTTCGATAAAAAATGAGTACACATAACGTTACGTTGCATGTAGATCAAAAACAAATGAACTACTTTACAGATGTTGCCAAAATATTCTCTTTAAGAAATAAATAACAGTAAACAATACGTTAAATGTCGATAAAAAACGAGCTGCTATAATGATAATGAAATATTCTTGTTAATTGAAAAGTGATGATCAGCACAAGTCAAATAGTAGATATAAGTAGTTTTAAGCAAATTCAATGGTATATAAAAAACCATTCAACCATATCTGATCCACCATTTTGAATTTTGAAAAATCAATATTATATTCGTTATCAGCGACCCCAAAAACCCCCGAGTACCAATTTTTATGCGAATTGTATCATTTTTTTAAAAAGTCATCCGCCATATTGGATCCGCCATTTTGAATTTTGAAAAACCAATATTATATTCGTTATCAGCGACCCCAAAAACCCCCCGAGTAACAATTTTCAAGCGAATTGTATCATTTTTTTAAAAAGTCATCCGCCATATTGGATCCGCCATTTTGAATTTTGGGAAACTAACATCAGATTCGTAATCAGCGACCCCAAAAACCCCCGAGTAACAATTTTCAAGCGATTTTGATTTATTTTTTTAGATGTTATTAATTTTCATAAATTATTGGAATTTATGACTTAGGGGTAGTTTTTCACCCCTTTCCCTCCACTTTGCAACTTTTTAACTATCATTTTCGGTTTCAGCAGGGTTCAAACTGTTGGAAACCACTATGCTTTTACAATTCCCTTATAGGCAAATTTTGGCCCTTTTTCAGCACCGTTCTTTCTTTTGTCCTGAACCGTAATAATCGTTCCCGTAATACTTGGATTGACCCTATTGTACTACAGTTAACATTCTCTAATTCCTGGACAATTTCATTAACAGGAGTCCTCTGAATCTCCCTCCAAATCACTCTTGCTTGGCGATTTCCCAAAATCTTAGACATGTGCTTCGCATATGTCTCCATGACTAAACGTTTGTCCAAAATTCAACAAATCTCACAATTACTTTACACTACATACAAATAATCACTCACGGATAAAATTTTCTAACAACCCAATTTTATTGTTGTTGTCCAAATATCACATAAATTAAAACAAATAAATAAATAAACCAATAATAATATGCAGAAACAAATTAATCCCAAAATAAAATTTCCAAATATAACACTTTTCCCAAAATTGTCACTTATGACCACTGATAAAAACCAAAAGAAAATTTTTAATTCAATCAATTAATCAGTTATTAATCAATTAATCGAATTCTCCGATTAAAATCCTCGTGGAATTACCCAATTCGTCCCTTAAAAATTGTACAACGATTTTCGTTAACAATAAATTGTGAGAAAAATAAGAAAGGAAAAAAAATTATTTTATACTAAAAACAATTTTATTACTTTATGCTATTAAAGAAACCAAAAACAGAAAAAAAAACTCGTTCTAATTTCAATTTGTTACAATTAAAAAAAATTTTTAAATCACTAAAAAACAAAACAAAAGTTTTCTTTTCTCTGCGAAGAACAAAAATTCCTTCTTTAACAAAAAATGAAGAGAAAATAAATGCATATATTTCACTCGTAAAATAGCATAAATCACAAAAAAACAAAAAATGAAAAATATTATTATTCAATTAATAAAAACATCACACTGGCCCCAATTCCAAAAAGTATACATAAAACCAGAAAACAAACAAAATTAAAATTATCACTTAAAAAAAATCAATTGAATTTAAAATTGCAAATGGCTGCCACCAACGCCAAAATTTTGCCGCTTAAAATTTTCCTGCGTTTTCCGGCAACCAAGTCTTTGAATTAATTTCCAAAAAAAAAATTTATTCACACACAAAAAAAACAATTTTTGAAAAATAATTATTTCTAAAACCAATCAATAAATAAAATAAACTCACAACAACAATAACAAAAAAAAGTACTCCTCCTGATTTGACAAAATTTTCAAATAATTTTAATCACACTGGCCATCAATTAATACAAAAATGGCCAAAGCATTACAAGAAATACAAGTTCCTTTAGACGCAATAGTATTGTCCACTGTGCCTCGCTTGCGTCGTCGACCATGTGCTCGGTACAGCTGTACCTAACCCTTGCGTCTTTTCGGAACTCCTGCCAAATTATTGTCAATTTTTTAAAAATTTCCACTCCGATAACCGACGCAATTAACCCCAAATAAGGTTCATGAATTATTTTCCGGCCAAAAATTAATTATTCGCGGCCACTTCCCTGAAAAATCCGTCAAGATTTGTTTCCAACTTGGAAGCTAAAGTATTGACCTGTGTACTGTACTGCAAACGCAACCGACGCTACGTCAATACCTTTACGGACAATTAATACTCGACCAAAAATCCCAAGAGAAAAGAAAAGAAAAAAAAACTCATGAATTCTACGCGTCACTACCGGAACAATTCATACAAAAATAAAAAAAAATATTGTCGAATCCTCGAGTCATTAAATTACTATTAACCAATAAAGACCAAGAAAAAAAAATTAATTTCACTACAGAACAAGAATTGACCAAATACAAAAATTTCTACACTGTCTCTCGCGCCAATTCAAAACGTCTGCTTACATGAGAGCAAGCACATGTTAACCTGAAAATTTTTATCTCGCTTCTTTTTCGAAATTATTAACACGGCCGCACTTATTTTTCTTTCCGTCGAGTGGCAAAAAATTTATATATCGGGTCTTAACGACATTCACAAAATACACTGACCCAAAATATAATTATATCCAAATTTAAATTTACCATTAAACAATTCGTCTCTGTCTCGCAGCCAACGCTTTGCCCTACGTTGGGCGCCAAGTTTGTGACAGATTATTTAAATTAAACTAATTTAATGCATCTTCTGCACAAGACAAAAAGCAATAAACACATAAATATACAAATGAGAAATCCAAGGGGAAATTCCGCGACGGCCAACCGACTGATGCTTGACGGTGAGACAGAAACGACTTGGAGAAAATCAAACTGGACTTAACAACGATGATCGGGAAGAATCGACAGATAATTGACACAGCACAAATAACTAAACACCAAGCAATTAACTCGATAGATCTTTATTCAATAAACTCGAATTTGGTAATTAAAGAATTAACTTAACAAAAAGCAAATCAAAATGGTAAAGGAGAAAGCACTTAATCGAAACGGTCGACAAATTACAACTGCTCGTACGAAAGGCACCGGCGGCTTCTCCCTATTCGCGACTCTCTCACTCTCACGGTAATCATGGCCTCACTCCTCTTCGTCACTCCTATGGACTGCGACACCTGTAACAGAAAATCGGGAGGAACCGGAAGGCCTCGGGGCCAAGCACACGAACCAACGCAAAATCTCTAATAATCCCAAACGAAAATAGATGGCAGCAACAATCAGAAAACGAATTATAACGAGAGCAATAAATGCCTCGTTACACATGAAGATACCATTTAGTGGGATCTTGTGTCGATAGTTTCGTCAAAATAGATATAATTGTCCTGTTAATTCGCACTATTTGCCCGTTGGCTCTAGGAAGACCTGTGGTAATCAGCGAATGCTTGATTCCTTCTTCGTTGCAATAACTCTCGCACTCCTGGGACGTAAAAGCAGTTCCTCTATCCGTGGTGATCTGAGCCGGATTTCCAAACGTGCGCATTTGTAATTCAAGTTTCGAGAGTACTTCTCGTGATGTCGTACTTTTTGTAGGATAAATCCAAACAAATTTCGTGTAGGAGTCAATCACGGCGAAAATGTGATTGTATTTCTTGCTTGTTGACTCTAATAGACCCAAATGGTCAGCGTGATAGGTATGTAAAGGAACGTCAGATTTCGTCAACGGATGCAGATACCCTTCCTGCTTACCACTCGTTCTGCAAGCAGTTTGGCACAACTAATACATCAGATTTGTTTGTCAATTTAAATAGTAATCCCCCTCGTAACTGGTAATTCGTGTGTGGATTATTCTTCGATGTGTCGATAAAACTTTGAATTTCGAGATCTTCAGTTTGTGCCTTTCTGATCCTGGCAATTAGGTTGTCTTCAATGATGTTCATGATAGCGTTTCTGCTTAACGCGTCTGCGTGCTTCATGCGAGAGCCTGGTCGATGCTCTATTGTATAATCAAATTCTTCCAAGGTTTCCGCCCATCGCCATGTTTTAGCCGAAATTTTCCGTTTACCCATCGTTTGACTAAACGCAGAACAATCGGTAACAATTTTAAATTTAATGCCGTGAAGGTAGACACGAAATTTTTTTAGAGCCTCTATAACCGCCAATACCTCTAGCTCGTAGCTTTTGTAGTTTCGTTCTGCTCCATGTGTTACGACTCCAAAAATGTACTGGGTGGAAGTAGTTGTCCTCTGGCGACCTTTGTAGTAGAATTGCACCGACACCGTCTTAAGAGTTAAAATTGATTTCAATTTTTGAAATGCATCCTTCTCGTTTCTTCGGAAGTGGAAGGGTTTATCCTTTTTTAATAAATCGCTTAACGACTTAGCTAGAACAGAATAAGACTCGACAAATTTCCGGAAATACCCCGTAAGACCTAGAAAACTTTGTATTTGTTTAATATTTTTCGGTTCTGGAAATTGCACAACAGATTTAATTTTATCCGGTGAGGGATACACATTGCCGTTTTGTATAACATGACCTAAGTATTCTATACGTCGTTTAAGAAACTTACACTTTTTAAAATTTACATTAAGTCCATAATCGCTCGCAACATTTAGAACCAACTCTAAACGTTTGACAGCTTCTTCGTAATCTCGAGCTAAAATAATTATGTCATCGAAATACACCGCAACAGTTGCATTATTTATTAATGGCTAAAAACCCTATTCATAAAGCGCTGAAAACGGGAGGTGATTTGCACAATCCGAAAGGAGCTGAAAAATTGAAACTGACCGTCATGTGTAACGAAAAATGTGTATTTCCTACTGTGTTCGTCGACTTCTACATGGAAAAAACCATTTCTTAAATCAATCGTACTGAAAATTAAAGCGTCCTTAAGTTTATCTATTAAATTTTCTACAAGCGGTGATGAAAATTTATCTTTTATTGTTACCTTATTAACCGGGCTATAGTCTACGCAAACGCGAGGGGTTTTATCTTTTCGTGTTGTTACTACTAAAGAACATGCAAATTCGACATTACATGGTTTAACTATTCCGTCGTCTACCTATTCTTTAACCTGATTTCCTACCACTTTCTTTCCGTTTACAGACATTCTGCGCGGCCTTTGGCAAATCGGTGTTTCATCAGGTTATGTAATACTCAATTTTACATCTGTCGACTTACATTTTCTCGGTTCATAATTTTCTACAAGACTTTTAACCCTATCGCGAATATCTAAATCTGGAAGTCGATCAATATCAGCAATCGTTTCTTCTGGAACCTGTATGTATGCTAAAAATGACGTTCGAATTTTTTTCTTAACAATTGTGCCCGACCCACTCACTACTAATTCCGCGAACTGTAGAATATCTCTACCAATATCATGTAATGATTCGTTCTCTTCTTTTCTCTTTTTCTTTAATTAAGGAAAAGACACGAGAATGGTGAAGAAAATGACGCAATTAGTTTCAAATGAAATTAATTGTTTTTATTCAAAATCCCTTCTTAGTGGTGGTTCACAATTTCAGTGTGTTTGGTGTGAAGATTGAGATTCTGTTGTGCGGTTAATTTCGACGCTACGATGTAATATACAAAGTTCTCGTGGGTAGGTGACGACTATACTTACTCTATTAATTAAGACAGAGTTTAATTAATCCTAATCAGTCAAAAATAAAAATTAAACCTTTCTTTGATCGAGGATACAATAATATAATGCTTTAATAATCATCAAAAATAAAACTAAACTTGTAACTAAACTTTCTTTCTTTCAGATGATAATACGTTCGTTTTTCAAATCTCTGATAAGTGAAAATAAAACTTAATTCTAATCTTATGATAAAATTAAACTAATCTTTCTTTTTTTCAGGTGAGCAGAGTGCTTTACATTCGTCTTCTATTCTTAGGTAAGTGAAATAAACTAAATTCTGATTTTTGTAATGAAACTAAACTAATTAAGGAAGATTTCGACTATATCAGCAATTAGTGACATCTATTAAAAGTCAATTGTTTCTACAGAAACTAAACTAACTTTTCTTTCTTTTCAGATGAGCAAGGCGATTTACATACGTCTTCTAATTCTTTGGTAAGCAAAATAAACTAAACTCTGATTTTATAATGAAATAAAACTAATTTTTCTTTCTTTCAGATAATGAGCAACGCAGTTCGTAAAACTTAATTTTACTTACATTGGTAAGTATCGTGATGGTAACTCGCGTGTCGACGGCAGCTAGCGCAGCGTGCACCGTAGGTAAGTTTATCATGAGAGTCACTCGCGTATCGACGGCAGCTAGCGCAGCGTTCACCGTCGGTAAGTTCTCGACACTCGCGGTTTAACGGCAGCCGGTATAGTGTGCACCGTCGGTAACGTCACTCGCGGTTTAACGGCAGCTGATGTAGCGTTAACCGTTGATAACACAGCCACGCAAAAAAAATAAAGTGTCTTTATCTGGGGTCGAGACATATGTATTCCGATGTATTTCGATGCGCTGAATCCAAATCCGCCATCAGAAATTGGCCAATGGGTCCTGGTTTCGCCTTAACCTCAAAAAATACCATAAAATCGTTAAAATGGTCACTTTTAAATTATCAATATGGGGGTAGATTCATTTTGATAATTTAAAAGTAAGATCCCTTAATTTAAATAAACTATTCTATAAGCTTTTCAATTGAAAATTCATATAAAACATTATATCCATCGAACCTAACCTCAAAAACACATCTAAGATTCCAAACAAACAAATTATACCATACACAGCGCAATAAAAAATAGGTAAGCTCATGAAAGTTACAACTTAGGTGTTTCTATGATTGGCTTTTTTTCAATGATGACAAATCCCATGTCGGTTTCTAAAAATTCAAAATGGCGGATCCAATATGGCGGTACTTATTATTTTAACGATTTTTTAAAATGTATTACTCGCGGTTTTTCGTGACCTTTGATATAGGATTTGTTATCAAAAGTTGCAAAAAACCGCGAGTAATAAATTTTAAAAAATCGTTAAAATAATAAAGAACGCCATATTGGATCCGCCATGTTGAATTTTTAGAAACCGACATGGGATTCGTCATCATCGACCCCGAAAACCCCCGAGTAACGATTTTCAAGACAAGCCAAACAAATTTTAATTATATTGTTCGCCATATTGGATCCGCCATTTTGAATTTTGATAAACTAACATCGGCTTCGTAATCAGCAGTCATAAAAACACCTAAGTTGTAACTTTCATGATCTTACCTATTTTTTATTGCGCTGTATATGGTATAATTTGTATGTTTGGAATCCTAGATTTGTTTTTCAGGTTAGGTTCAATAGATTTAATGTTTTATATGAATTTTCAATTGAAAAGCTTATAGAATAGTTTATTTAAATTAAGGGATCTTAGAAAATTACCAATATGTGGTTATATTCAATTCTTCATTACCTCACCCTGACGTACTCGATAATTACTAATTACTATCTCCTTGTTAAAGGAATAGATGAATAGATGCCACTATTAAGGTGGCATGTCCTCAACCAAAGAGGAATAACTTCAACAACACCCAATCAAGGAAGCCCGTTATTCCAGCTCTCTGGTGGAATGAAGCGTGTGATTTGGCAATTTCCAAAAGAAAAGAAGCTCTTAGAAAATATAGAAACGTCTCCAATGTGGACTTACGCAGCCGGCTACGGCTTCTTGTTCAGCGGATACAGAAGTTATAGCCATGCTACATGATCGTGTGAATGAAACTTGTCCTTCTACCGTGTATCGCGAACAATTTCCTAACGATTTTAGAGCTGACGAATTCCTCGAGAATCCCTTCACTGAAAAAGAACTTAAAATTGCCATTTCCTCCTTCAAATCTAAATCCTCTCCTAGTCTTGATAAAGTTGACTATATATAATTCAACACCTTCCATCTAACGCTTTATCCGCTCTCCTAGACATTTTCAATAAAATCTTATCATCTTCCACTTTTCCACCATCTTGGACTGAATTCTTAATTCTTTTTATCCCTAAATCCACCCCCGGGAAATTAAGACCAATTTCCTTGGCTTCTTGTCTATTTAAATTATTAGAAAAACTTATTTAGTTGAGACTCAATTGGTATTTTGAACACAATTTGAGACTATCACCCACTCAATTTGGTTTTAGAAAAAGTAGATCATGCGCCGACAACCTAGCTATCCTGGCTACAGAAGTCTGGACCGGTTTCGCGAATCGCCAAACTACCGCAGGTCTATTTCTTGACATAAAAGGAGCATTCCCAAGTGTAATGCCGAATATATTAGCTGAGGACCTTAAAGAACTGGGAATCAACAAGAATCAACACCATAGGACTACCACAAGGTAGTATCCTTAGCCCTATTCTTCACTCTTTGTACACTAGAGATCTAGCTTCCATTGTCCCAGCCAATTGTATTTTGGTCGAATTTGCAGATGACAAAGCAATCATCTGCAGATCAGAAGACCCTACAGAATGTATAAGGGGCATTCTTTATGAACGGAGCCACCTCATCTCTCCATTTTTGGTTTCGTCAAAAAAATATTTATTATATGTCAA